GGGGCACCCTAAGAGGGAAAACCATGATGGAGGGGTGAGATAAACAATGCCTAGCTAATTTTGAAAACCAGAGAGAACCATATTAGTCCTACAACCTACTGACAAATTATACATAGCAGATCAAGAAATATATGTCTAGATAAGGTTTATCGGAGAACAACCAGTCTTTGCCTAAGATTTATCTACATGAAACACAGTAATTAAAAATACCAGACTGGTGGAACTAACCTTCTTGGGTGTTTAACAGACATACTTTGAGGTCTATAATAATTTGGTCAGAGGGACTAAAGGACACTTTTTGCCTCTTGCCCTCCTAGGTCAACTAGTTCCAGGGGACTAAGAGCATCTCTCAAAATGTCTTATATTGGTGGTGGGTCACCTGTCCTCTTGATCAAGGAGGCCAAGGAGACCCCACCAGATGGACTTGAACCAGTGTCCACTCTATAAAGAGGAGGGCCAACACAGAGGAATCATTTCCTCCATGCTTCCAAGTGAAGCCAATCATGGCTGAGCAGGACCTTTGACTTATCTTCACATAGGTGGAACTGGTAAAAGAAAGGAGCCAGGGGCTCCTCCCAAGCCCATGGGACCCCTGAGGAACAGATCCACAAATGACCTTAAGAGTAAAAATAAATCGGTTTACCTGGACCAACTGTGTGGCCTTAAACACCCAAAAGGAAAGTGTAACCAAAGGTTAAAGGGGCCAATATAATTTCATGAGTCCACATGTATAGCTAAAGGCTACATAACAAGCAACAATGCCAGACAGGCAATACCTTCTTTTGAGTTGTTGGCCAGGGTGGCCAAGGGATTCCCAGATAAAAACCCAGCATAGAACTGAGAAATTGAACAGCAGATCCCAATCTTATCCAAAGGAATATTGACAACTGATTACTGCTAGATGAGGAACAGCTGACCCTCCTAAAACAAAGACCTCTAGATAGGCTGACTAGGTTCACCAGAAGGGCAAGTAGTGGGGAATGGCTGGGGGTGCCAACAACACAGCAGACAGTAGCAGGGATATCAGTGTATAAGGGCTCTAGAGGAGGAGGAAGGCTATGGGAGGGTG